AGCATTCTTCAATATTTAAAGGAAAATAATCATCCTACACCAAATATTCATAAAAGATTGAATCCTGCATATTTAAAGGAAAATAATCATCCTACACCAAATATTCATAAAAGATTGAATCCTGCAAAGGATAAACCTCAACACGCATATCAACCTATAGAAGACAATCAAATATTTCAAACAGATGGTGCGAGTCTTCGTGTAATTTTCACATCAGGGCATAGTGAAGACCATATCGCATTTTATTTAGAAGAAGAAAATGCAATATTTACTGGTGATGCTGTATTAGGTCAAGGAACAACTGTTTTCGAAAATCTTGAAGAATATATGACTTCTTTGCAAAAAATGAAAAAATTAACACCAGATCGATTATACCCTGGTCATGGTCCAGTGGTCGAAGATGGTATGGCCAAATTGGATGAATACATTGATCATCGCCTGCAGCGTGACCAAGAAATACTTGATGTACTTAAACAATCTGACAAACCTTTAACAGCTATGCAAATTGTAGAATCAATATATGCAGCATATCCTCGAGAACTTTGGAAGGCTGCAGAAGCTAGTGTAAAATTGCATTTATTTAAGTTAGAAAACGAATCAAAGGTCTGTAGAAGAATTTCGCCCATTGAAGATAAATGGGCTCTTAATAAGAATTATAAAATATAAATATATACAAATACATGTGCTCTCGTTTGTCTTTATTAATAAAAATAAAGGAATATCACCTGCTTCTTACTGTAATTAGAATGAATAATGATAAAAAAATATACATATATTACACTTAAGTAAAAGTCTGATTGTATCGGTATTTGGCGTTTGATTGTAATATCTCTATTCTTATAAATTATAAATACTCTATTCGAGAATGCGCCTACATTACATGTCGGAGCACTCCATTTTACCATCCGGATATAATTATTATGAGGCGCATTTCCGTGATAAAGGCGAAGTTTCACCATAACAAATAAAAAATAAAATTATATCGATTTGTACTTTTTGTTTCACTCACTTGATTTATCTTTTATCTTTTATCTTTTATTATCTGAGGTTGCACATAGTAACACCGCCGCTTGACAGCTACTATTTAGGTTTGCCCCTGGCCAGACTCCTTTTTTTTTTTGACTTATTTCTATTAATATGCACTATTCACCGCAAATCTCGTTTGAAACAAAAAAAATTTTTTTCTTGTCATCGTTTTTCGTAAGAGATTGTGTCTGCGTATTGTTGAAATCAT